GCCAGAATGACTGCTATCAAAAAGTCTACAAACAATAAATGCTGGAGAGGGTGTGGGGAAAAAGGAACCCTCTTACACTATTGCTGGGAATGCAAACTAGTACAGCCACTATGGAGAAAAGTGTGGAGATTCCTTAAAAAACTGGAAATAGAACTGCCATACGACCCAGCAATCCCACTGTGGGGCATACACACTGAGGAAACCAGAACTGAAAGAGACACATGTACCCCAATGTTTATCGCAGCACTGTTTACAATAGCCCATGGAAGCAACCTAGATGTCCATCAGCAGACAAATGGATAAGAAAGCTGTGGTACATATACACAATGGAATATTACTCAGCCATTAAAAAGAATGCATTTGAATCAGTTCTCATGAGGAGGATGAAACTGGAGCTTATTATACAGAGGGAAGTAAGTCAGAAAGAAAAACACCAATACAGTATACTAATGCATATATATGGAATTTAGAAAGATGGTAACGATGACCCTATATGTGAGACAGCAAAAGAGACACAGATGTAAAGAACAGTCTTTTGGACTCTTTAGGAGAAGGCAAGGGTAGGATGATTTGAGAGAATAGCACTGAAACATGTATATTACCATATGTGAAACAGATCGCCAGTCCAGGTTCAATGCATGAGACAGGGTGCTCAGGGCTGGTGCACTGGGATGACCCTGAGGGATGGGATGGGGAGGGAGTTGGAAGGGGATTCAGGATGGGGAACACATGTACACCCATGGGTGATTCATGTCAATGTATGGCAAAAACCACTACAATATTGTAAAGCAGTCAGCCTCCAATTAAAATAAATTAATATTTTTAAAATGAAATTAAATTAAAAAGAAAGAAGCTGCATTTAGTGGGAAATTAGTAGGGAGAGTCAATGGAATTTTGAAAACTTTGAAGTCTTGGGAAAACTATAAAAATCATTAGAGAATAAAAAGTTGTATCACATGGAACAAAAATATAAAGAGGCATATTCACTTGTGAAAGACAAGAATTCACAAGAATATACAAGACAGACAGAGGTTAACAGTTGGTTGTTTCAAACACATGGGGCAAGTGTAGTGCACTTAAGAGTACAGGATCCCCTGAGTTCAACTCAAGTTCAAATTCTTGCTCTCCCACTCAACAGCTGCAATTCTGAACAAGTTACTTACCCTTTACGCCTCAGTTTCTTATAAAATAGGAAAATAAGGAGATAATCCACACAAATGCTACTCACTAAAGTAACTGGCACTCTAGAAGTTATTAGAATTCTAAATAATCACTAATTTGTTATAACTTCAAATACAAAAACTAGAATAATGAGAAACTTCATTAATACTTGTTTTCTTCAAACACTAAAACTATACAGCTTTTATATTTTAAATAAAGCAATGTGAATTGAATTAACTGCTTCTGTGGAGGAAAATGAAGAAATAGTTTCACACTCTAACCCTCTTTCCTTTCAAGTTGGCAGAAAAATAGGGCAAAGAGTTCACAGAAACTTGATTCCTTTCCAGTCCATTGGGACAAGGTCCAGTTAGCCAGTTCCTCAAGGACATGATGCAATGAAAACAATTCAGGAAAATAAATAATATGGGGAAAACATAACACAGAGGAGGGAGATAATTTTATTTCATCTTCTACTTAGATGTTACTTTTAAAAAGCAACCAAAATGAGGGCTCCCCTGGTGGCTCAGTGGTAAAAAATCCACCTGCCAGTGCAGGAGACACGGGTTTGATCCCTGGTCCAGGAAGATCCCACGTGCTGCAGAGCTACTATCCCATGTGCCGCAACCATCGAGCCTGTGCTTGTCCAGCCTGGGAGCTGAGACTACCGAGCCCTTGTCCTGCAACTACCGAAGCCTGAGTGCCCTGAAGCCCGTGCTCCAGAGCAAGAGAAGCCATCTCAGTGAGAAGCCCACCCACTGCAGCTGGAGAGGGGCCCCCACTTCCCAAAGCTAGAGAAAAGCCCACACAGCAACGAAGACCCAGCACAGCCAAAAATAAATAAATAAATAAAATTATGTTTTTTAATGCAACCAAAATGAAATCTGTAAACCATACACTTTTAATTGTTGGCTACTATACATGTTTAATGTACCATTTGAACTGTACTTTTCATAGAAACTGGATTGTTTCTTCATATTTAGTAGCGGGTGAGTAAACATCAGGACACCTAGGTAGCCATCTGACAAACAAAGGAAATAGGCAGGCTCCTATTTCATTCCTAAGGCCAAACTAAAGCCCAGTAGATCAACAACCCCAACATAAAAAAGTAAAGCCATAAATTACTAGAGAAAATTTTGTGCAAGAGCTTATGAAACTAGAAGCAATCACAGAACAATGAAATCAATATATTTGATGACACAAAAACTTTAAAATTCTGCACAGAAAGAAAATAGCACTAACAATGTTAAAAGACAGAAACTAGGACAACAGCCTATTTTCTTTAATACATGAAGATATTTTATGAATAAGATGTTTTGTATTTTATGTAAGCAAAGTGGAAGAAAACAAATGCAAAACAAGCAGTTAATTAGAAAGGAATTTTAAAATATTAACTATATGAAAGATGATTAACCTCATTTATAATTAAACAAATGCATATTATAATAATAATGGGAACCAGTTCATCACCTAGCAGGCTGACACACGGATCATAAAGTTTGATGACATAGCAGGTGATAACATGAGGAAAGACACCACTATGTAATATAGAAGTGATAAAATAATGCAAACACTTTGGAGGACAACTGGTTTATTCATCAACATTGAGAATGCACATAGCACATCAACTGTTCAAGTTTTGAACTTATCTTGTAAGGATTTTCCTATTTTTATACAATGACAGACACATACTATCATACCCAGTTGGTGATGGAAGAAGCCCCATTTGTCTCGGTTTCTGTCTTTTGTGAACTGCCAAGCAAATTGTAGGAATTCAAAAAGTAATCGTTGAATGGAGAAATGAACAGCATGTGCATGACAGCACTGCCAATATCTGACGACAAATCCTATGTCCAATACAGGAGACTGGTTAATACATTTTAATAGAACAAATTGAGACAATGAAATAGTACACAGCCCCAAAAAGAATAATACACATGTTGAAATAGGGTGATCTCTAAGATAAGTTAGATTCAGTTCAGTTCAGTTGCTCAGTCATGTCCAGCTCTTTGCGATCCCATGGACTGCAGCACGCCAGGACTCCCTGTCCATCACCAACTCCCGGAGTTTACTCAAACTCATGTCCATTGAGTCAGTGATGCCATCCAACCATCTCATCCTCTCTTATCCCCTTCTCCTCCCACCTTCAATCTTTCCCAGCATCAGGGTCTTTTCAGATGAGTCAGCTCTTTGCATCAGGTGGCCAAAGTATTGGAGTTTCAGCTTCAACATCAGTCCTTCCAATGAATATTCAGGACTGATTTCCTTTAGGATGGACTGGTTGTATCTCCTTGCAGTCCAAGGGACCCTCAAGAGTCTTCTCCAAAACCACAGTTCAAAAGCATCAATTCTTCAGTGCTCAGCTTTCTTTACAGCCCAACTCTCACTTTCATGCATGACTACTGAAAAAACCAGTCCAGCCTTGACTAGACAGACCTTTGCTGGCAATGTAATGTCTCTGCTTTTTAAGTTAGGTTAAAAAGGCAAAATTTAAACACATACATATGCTTGAAAAGTGTTAGTCACTCCGTTGTGTCCAACTTTTTGTGACCACATGGACTGTAGCTCACTAGGTTGCTCCCTCCATCCATGGGATTTTCCAAGAATACTGGAGTGGGTAGTCATTCCCTTTTCCAGAGGATCTTCCTGACCTAGGGATCGAACCAGGTCTCTTTCGTCTTCTGCATTACCAGGCGGGTTCTTTACAACTAGGGCCACCTGGGAAGCCTACATATGCTTGTGTGACTGTATTCTACCTGGACAGGTAAGAGGTAGGTAAACGCAAATGCGACTGGGTAGATGGTTTGTAAACTAAGGACTGGGGTGAGGGATTTTGTCCTTCAGAGAAAGTTACTTTTAGGAACTTACTTTGCATTGCTTACTATGTGTGGATTAAAATAAAAGCATCTGTACTTATTACTTTTTCAATTAAAAATTAGTTATCAACAGCAAAAATCCCCATACTGAGACCCCTGGGACGCTGCCCTGTAACACTTCTCTGCCTCCCAGCTCGCTGTGGGTGAGCGAGCAGTTTGGAGAAAGGGCTTCATCACGTTCAACTGCTGAGCGCTCACTGCGCTGGGTACATCCTGTTCTGTTAAACCAGTCAATGATCAGACCTGGAAACCAGCCATCGCTGGAAGCCTTTTCACCGTTACTTAACAGATGCGGATGCTGAGTCCAAAGTGACAGAACTCAAGGTCGCACCCCTTTTTCTGATTTCTGTCTTCCCACCACCCTTCTCTCAACCCGGTGTATCAGACCTGGAAACACAAAGGAGAAGCCTCATCCCGACCCTTCCGCTGAAGATACTCTGCACCGCTTCAGTACCTTGACTTGAGTAGTACTATTACCAATACTCTTTTGCTAGAATTTGGCTTCAGATCTTCAGTTTTCCTGGCAATTTCATTTCTCCCAGCACACGTCAAGTTATCTGCTGAGATGAAATAAATCCAGGCTTCCCACATCTCAGAGGTCATTATCTTTTATCTCTGCTGCTCTGCTGCGGAGAGTAAGGCATTTCTGAAAAACTTAATAGGTTTGGGAGACTCATCCAAGGGCAGGATTTCACTGCTTAGGGTCAAATAGGCCCTCACCCCTGAGGACGCCAGCTTTTTTAGAGGTTTCCCGTTTCCACGACCCTGGAGAAACTGGAAGGACCAGCGCGGGATTTCTCAGGACACCCTCTGCCACCGCCGGGTGCTCCCAGGGCGCGTCCCCGCAGAAGTTACACTCCCCCGCCCCCGGCACGGGGTCCGGCGAGGGATCGGCCGGGGTACCGGCCCAGCCTCGGCTTCGCGGCGCGACACCGGGGTGGGGCTGGTAAGGGAAGGTCCCCTTACCCGCCAGGCCAGGTCCAGATCGAAGTCCCGGGCGCGCAGGAACCGCAGCAGGAAGGCGTCGCTGAGCAGCCGCCCGGCCAGCGGAGCGCCGGCCGCCCAGGCCCGGCGCCGCAGTTCGGCCAGGCTGGGCTGCAGCAGCGGCGAGTGGTCGGGCAGCGCGCTGAGCTGCAGCCCCGCCAGCCCCGGCCGCGCCTCTGCCATGCCCGCCGCCCGCTCCCGCTGTGGTCCGGGGCGCCCGGGAGAGCGCGCGCTGGCCTCCTTCCCCTCCTCCGCGGATCGCCCGTCCCGCCCCGCCCGGAGGGGTGCGCCCGGCCGCCTCTTAGAGCGAACCACGTGGGAGCCTGCGGGGCTCAGGGCTCTGCAAGCCACAGGTAGTAACCCCGGCCTTCCCAGAAAGGAAGTCACTGGTGCTCAGCCCCTAGAAGATAACATAGTGTGTTTGCCTCTGCTGATGGTGATCGGTGGCGATGTTTTCAAACTAGTCAGCTAGAGAACTTTATTTTTTCATTTTCTTCCTTCTTTCCCTCTCCCCTCATCTACCTCTCTCTCTTCCTTCCTTCCTTTCCTTTTCCTTTCTTCCCTCCTCCCTCCTTCCCTCCTTTATTCCGTCCTTCTTTGTTCTCTCACTCCCTTGCTTCCTTCGGTCTTAAAATCCGACCTTGTCCTAGAGCTGGAAGGAGCCTTAGAACCACCACTTCGCGTCTCAGTGGCGGGCTCGCAGAGGAGTCCTTCTCCCCGCGCCCCCCCCCCCCCCCCGCCTTCGGTTAATGCTTCTCACTGACTCCCCACCTCAACCTGTGTTACATCGTGCTTGCGTGCTAAGGCGGCTTCAGTAGTGTCCGACTCTTTGCGACCCCCAGGGACTGTAGCCCGCCAGGCTTATCTGTCCATGGGGATTCTCCAGGCAAGGATACTGGAGTGGGTTGTCATTTCCCTTCGGGGTGTGTTGTTGCATCAGTGGTTTCCAAAATACCCATCCCAAAAGAGCAGCTTAACTGACTCACTGCTGCTCCCCTTCCTCCCATTTCAGGCAGTCTTCTTAGTTCCTTGGTACCTTAACAGAGTTAGTGATATACACCAATAAATGACTGTCGCTTTTCAGTCCCTAAGTTGTGTCCGACTCTGCGCGCTATGGACCGCAGCACACCAGTCTTCCCTGTCCTCCACTATCTCCGGAGTTTGCTCAAATTCATGTCCATTGAGTTGGTGATGCTATCTAACCATCTTACCCGGTGCTGCCCCCTTCTTTTGCCTTCAATCTTTTCCAGCATCAAGGTCTTTTCCGATGAGTTGGCTCTTCACATTATGTAGCCAAAGTACTGAAGCTTCAACTTCAGCATCAGTGCTCCCATAGAATATTCAAGGTTGATTTTCTTTAGGATGGGCTTATTTGATCTCTTTGCAGTCCAAGAGTCTTTTCCAGCACTACAATTCGAAAGCATCAGTTCTTCAGCCTTCTTTACGGTCAAACCCTCACATACATACATGACTACTGAAAAAACCACAGCTTTGACTATACAGACCTTTGTGGGCAAAGTGATGTCTCTCTCTCTTTTTTTAATAACTAAGGACTAGAAAGTGCCAAGGAAAATCTTTGTAAACACTACATACTTACTTCCTGTGTTATGCTCTATTATCATGTCTGGTCACTCAACAGAGTCCAAAGTCCTCATATGACCTCATCTAAGTGATCCCTCTTCATGAAGATGGAGCAGGGAAGTGATGTGGAAACCAGAAAGGCCATTAAATTGGTCTTTCCTTGATCTCTGTCCTTTGCAACTATCCCAGAACTGACCTGTCTCCCTGAGGGAAAACTCGTGAGTTGAATTTTTATTGAATATATACTATGTGACAGATAAATACTAAAATCTCACAAACAAATAAAACCAAGTCTTTGCCTTTAAGATATCCAATGGGAGGTGAGAGAGACTGCCATTTCATTCATGAAAAAAATAGTTATTGAGCAGCTTCTGTGTCCAGATCTTGTTCAAGGTACTGAGGGTCCATTCTCAAACAAAACAGATACAACCCTTGTCTTGGGGGCTTTGATTTTTGTGGAGGGAGATTAGAGGAGGAATGAGATAAATAAGCAGTAAAACAGAGTCAGGGAGGTGGTGAGAAGTGTTTTGGGAAGCATAAAGCTCTCTGAAGGAGGGTTGAACCCACAGTGATGTTTGAATAACACCTGCAAGAAGGGAGGAAGTTGGACCAGGGGTCCCTGAGATGCAGATGGGGGCCAGGCTTGGGAACTCAGTGAAGTAAGTAATCAGAATTCAGTGAGTAAGCTATGGTAAATGAGGGCTAGAGGTGCCAAGCTTTTATTTTTATTTAGAGTGAGATAGAAAGGTATTGGAGGAGAGGTTTACCATTCAATGTGAAAACTGTCATGAAAGGGTTAGAGAGAAAGTACCATAGAGAACATAGAGGAGAGCTTCCTGACCCTGCTTAGGGTATCTGGGAAGGCTTCATAAAGAGAGAGTGTTTGCTTAGCGTTAATGGAGGCATTGGGAAGGCTTGCCAGGTGAGAGCAAGAGGTGGAATCTGCAAGTAAGTACTAGTCCAAAGGGGTAGACTATGCAGAGCCTTACTTGGAACTCTGAATAATGAAAAATCCAAGGGAAGCCAATCTTCTCTAGAAGCTTAAAGAGTTTAAAGGTAAGTGAACAAGACAGTGTACACATGGCATATTTTCTCCTCTTTCAATTTTTTAAAAATACATTCTTCTAGTTGTTTCTAGTAATTAGCATCTGCTATTTTGAAATAGGGCAGAAAGTTCATTCAGAGGGACTTCCCTAGTGGTCCAGGGGTTAAAAGATGCCATGCTCCCAATGCAGGGGGTATGGGATCGATCCCTGGTCAGGAACTAAGGTCCCTAAAGCCATGTGGCACTGCAAAAAAAATTCACCAAGAGATCATGGACATAGCTATAGTATCATAGCTGTAGCATCCTTTTTTGAAAGTGAGCTTTGTGGGGTTTGGAGTCTGATTTGGCTAGGTTTGCATTTGTAGAACTCTCATAGGAAAAACACAAAAGAATTTTTAGTGACTGATTTTGACGGATAACCATTAAATTCGGTGAAAGTGGAAGCAACATGGAGCCCAGGTGACCAAGAGACATGGTTCCTAATAACCCAGAGGTACAGAGGTAGTGGAGCATCTCTGGTCAAAATCTGAAACAATTCTAGCACCTGCAGTTAGTGCCTTTGAAGAAAAACACAGAGAAAAGAAAAGAAATGTGCAGGAGTAAGTAGACTCCTACAGAAAAACGTGCTTATTTTTTGCTAAGTAATGCAGACCACCCAACTGTGTTTCAACCATGAATCTTAGATCCAAAGAAACATTTTAGAATTTTGCCACAAATTTTCTGTCAGTGTTACTCACTCTTCATTTTGAAATGGTTTCACTTTTGCTTTGCTCCTATGTTACTCTGGTGAGCTTACTGCACATGCATCCAGGCCTCCTATATAAAGATTCCAGAGGTGTTTCTGGAAGTAGTGGCATGAGACGATAAAAACAAACATGGAGGGAAAAATCAGTTAATATTTGTACAACTAACAATTTACTCTGAAATTATTTAGCAACTATTTATTAACATGTAATATTTCATAAGTATACCAGTGAATTTATTTTCAGTTTCACGAAAAAAGAGATAAATATTATTTATTATCACTGTTAAGAGATAACCTTCAGGACTTTCCTGGTGGTGCAGTGGATAAGAATCTACGCGGCAATGCAGGGGACATGGGCTCAATCCCAGGTTTGGGAAGATCCTACATGCCACAGAGCAACTAAGCCCATACCCCACAACTATTAAAGTCAGTGCACTCTAGAGCCCGTGCTCCTCAATGAGAGAAGCCATAGCAATGAGAAGCCTGCCACCATAACAAAGAGTAGCCCCACTCGCCACAAGTAGAGAAAGCCCGCACAAAAGCAACGAAAACCCAGCACAACCATAAATAAATAAAGATAACTTTCAAAAGGAGGTAAAATTATGACTCTCATACAGATACAAAGATTTTTATTTGACTTAGAAGCAGAGAACCAGACAGAGACTCAGAGGAGAAATCAAAACAGCACACATTTATATGGAGTGAAAGATATGGAAATGGGTCAGGAAGATCCCCTGGAGAAGGAAATGGCAACCCACTCCAATATTCTTGCCTGGAGTATCCCATGGACAGAGGAGCCTGGCAGGCTACAGCCCATGGGGTTGAAAAGAGTCAGACGTTACTAAGCAGCTGAGCACATATGTACATGCAAAGTTTGGAGACAAAACTAACTTCTTCCACCATGAGGGCAGGAGGCCAACTGAAACTGTACCAGGTAGGGCAGCATTTGCGTGCTCTTAAACGAGAGTTGCCATCACCACCAAAGAGCTATAATTTACCATGTTGTGAAATAACCTAGATAGAATCAGAATCAGATAATCCAGAGGGAGTGCTCTAGAGTCTATACAATGCATAGTTCTCCGCTGACACACAATTTGATCCTATATCACTTGGAATGATGTAAACTCATTTTATTATTAATGATTACTGAAGCATAGCTGCTTTACCATGTTGTGTTAGTTTCTGCTGTATGGCAAAGTGAATCAGCTACATATATTACATGTCCCCTCTTTTTTGGATTTCCTTCCCATTTAGGTTGCCATAGAGTGCCAAGTAGAGTTCCCTGAGCTGTACAGTAGGTTCTCATTCGTTGTCCATTTTATACGTAGTATCAATAGTGTGTATATGTCAACCCCCATCTCCCAATTCATCCCATGATAAAGTTATGGACCTAAGCAAGGATTGTCATCAGCAAAAGTTAAGTAACTTGCCTAAAATCACACAGCTGAAATCACACACTGAAATCACATAATTTCAGTGGTTGTGGTGCATGGGCTTAGTTGGTCTGCAGCATGTGCGAACTTCATGGATCAGGGATCGAACCCCTGTCTCCCACATCATCAGGTGGATTCTTTACCACTGAACCACCAGGGAAGCTCTAATTCTCATATGAATTTAAATTTAAATTGTGGAAACCAGATTATCTTAATTTATAATTGAATGACTGGGTCAA